TGTTGCCTGACATTAAAACAAACACATTTTAACTATTTATTGGTATGCAGTGCTCTATTTTAGGCATTTTTATGAACACATTTCTTGTCTTTTTTTCATTTAAAAATTAAATCCAGCCTTACCGTCAGTCTTGCACAGTTGATGAGCTCACCTCTGTGTCCCTCTGCTTTCTTCTCCTATCTTCATGCTCCTTGTCAGCACTCGAATGGAGTGGCTTTGACTGCTGTTTTCTGAGTCTTGCTGTACCTTACGAGGCTGACACTGGGTCAAATTCAGGTGCTTGCACTGTTTGCAATTAAAAAAATATTCTGGTGTATTAAAGGAGAACTATGAGATGAGTGATTTCCACTCAGCTCATAGTTCTAGCCGACCTGTGACAATGAGACTGTCACAGGCAGCTCAGTAGATCGGGAGGTGAGTGAACACAGACCGGGTTCGCTCCCCTCTCGATCCTGTCACGGCTCTCTGCCGTGACAGGGGGAGGGGCTGGATTCCCCGCCCCCCGCTCCGATCTGCCAGCGCTGACTGGCAGAACGGACGGGGGAGGGGGCGGGTACAGCTGGCTCTGCCTCTAGATAGTCAGAGCCAGCTGTCACTCACGCAGCTGGGCGGATCTCGACGTCCATGTCGGGATCCGCTCCGGCTGCGACGTCTCAGTATACCGCGAGCTACAGCTATACTGAGCCTAAGGGTGATGGGAGGGCGCTAGTTTGTGTCCTCCCATTACCCTAAGGAGAACTATGGGGAAAAAAACTGACCCCATAGTTCTCCTTTAATGAATACAGAGATGCAATAATCGGTCTGTTCTTTCTATCTGCCTGGAGTTCAGCTTTAGTATGTACCTTAGATATGCACCTTCGCATTTAGAGAATGTTGTTAGACTGTGAGCAGAACAAATTGTTGCATTCACTTGGATCAATTAAAATATTTTTGAAACAATTTTTGTCCCTTATTAATATAATATTTGAGCATATGACTATATTCAAAGCTGATTTCTGGCCTCCCCTTCAGTCTTGCAGTTATACCGGCTCCTCTCCTGTACTAAAATTGCTCACTCTGATTTGCCTGCACACTGTTAGCTTCATGCAAGAAAGGTCTAGCTTCGATTAATCAAAACTGATTTCAACCTATTATATGGAACTTATGACCTGCAGGTCTGGTAGATTTGACAGCCGTAAGTAAAGGTGGCGGTCGCTTCTCCCAGACCTGGAGGAGGACGATTGGGGAGACCTTGAAAGTAGCTACATGTCCTCTGTGGTAACCTTTAAGGACAAACTGATACAGATGAAATTTTTCTACCAGGTCTACTACACTCCCACCCTTTTACATAGACTGGGCCTTCGCTTGACCTCAAGCTGTTTTAAGAGATGTGGCCAGGAGGCTGACTTCCTCCATTGTTTTTGGTCCTGCCCTAGCATACGGACCTTTTGGTCAGAGGTTACTTCCTTCATGGAGGCTAGCCTGGGTTTCCCCAATATCTGCAACCCTGCGTTCTGTCTCTTAAGGTCTGCTTGGCAAATTGCCACTGGACTTGAGTGCTCAGACACTACTCCGCCTCCTTTTATTTTACGCCAGGAAGAACATTCTCCTGGTCTGGGGTAGCCCAAAAGCTCCCTCCCTGGGTGATTGGAAGAGATTGGTTAATCAAGCATTGCCTCTTTACAAACTTACTTATGAACAGCGGGGAAAACGGATGCGTTTTACTCGCATTTGGGACCCGTGGTTGTCCTCCCCTAACACCACTGTAGATATGAGGTGAGGTCTGAAGATGTGACTATCCTTTAAGCTAATGGCCTCTTTGTACTACTGGATGTGTTTTATGCTATATTGATTACTATATTGACAACTACTGGATGTGTTCCAATTCCCACATAATAATTGCCTGTGCTTGGAGGCTGGGTCCTGGGTGCTATACTATGTAACCTTGTAAATTGTGAACCGTGAAATGTATGTATATGTGTGTATCGCATTATATCTTGGGTTATGTTGACCCGGTTGTTGTATGTGTTATCTGTATGATATAGGTGTGTTGTGTACGTGTCTGTACACGTACACAACAGACACGGGAAAAATGAATAAATGACTCAATAAAAAGTATCTTTAAAAAAAAGCATCATTGAAAAATAGTATTAGGTCCTCTGCCTACAGGGCTGCAGGGCATCCGTCTTCTCCAGCCATCCAATCTTTAGCTCCATAACATGTGGAGATATACAGAGGGCCTCCACTATAGGTTGCATGCCAGTTGCAAGCTGGACAAGCAGATAACTAGTAAACTAATCAGTAAACCATCTGTTGTGGGGTGAGAGGTCTTGATTTTTTACACCAGATCCTAAAGGCCTATGGAAGGCAGAACTATGGTCCATAGGAAAGTTGGAGAAGCAGTTTGTGAGTTCCTTTTGTGGAATCATACCAGGGGTTGTAGAAAGATGGGGTAATGTCTACAATTTCAACAGCATGGGGGTGCTCACACAGACAATGTAGTCAAGTACTGGTCACTGTGTCTAGCCAGTGTGCCGCAGGATTTGTACCCTTCTGGATTCTGGGTGCTTTGGGCCCCAGCCAGGATTATATCACAACCTCTATAGTTTAGGAAGTGCACCATTAAGGGCCTTGGTGGTGCCCCCAGTATAGGAGTTTGAGTAGCCACCTAGTACACTCTCTCTACCATGAAGGTTGGTAGTACATTGGTGATGCCTAGTAGATTGGCAACAAAAGTTTCAGCAAAGATTGGCAAGTTCAGGCCTTCTGCCTTCCTGGATTCTCACATTATTTCTTTGTAGATGATTTTTGGTATCAACTGATCATTCTTTGAGACCTTTTTCATGCCATTTGAGCACCTATGCCTCTGCAGAATTAGTAGACAGGATGTCTCAGTCTGGGAGATGTGTTTCTTGACCTCAGTTCACCAGCCTCAATAGTTGTCAACCACAGTCATATGAGGCTGATCTCAATGGATAGAGAGTCTATTTTCATGGTTGAAGATTACAATCAGGTTTGTATAGCTGCTAATATGTCAGCTCTGATAGGGCTCACCTCGGTACCCTCATTCAAGGAGAAGGACTGTGTGATTACAGACATCTTGGTAATAGCTGGTAAAGAATCCAAGATGGTCTCTATAGTCTCAGTGTAGGAGCTGTAACACATGAATGTGTGAAGGGTCTTTCAGCTTGTGTTGGGGTATCAGTCAGCACCAGGAAAGGCACATTAAAAAAGGCATCCCAAATAGGTCTGTCAGAGGACCTAGGTATGTGTCAGGATGATAACAGGATTATTGATAGTCGGAGCTCAATTAACTCACGTCTTCTCAGTCGGGCATTCCATCCACTCTTCCCCAGGGTGAACTAGTTCTACTCTTCCATGACCAGGTCACATTTGTAATTATGTGTTAGTTAATATTACAATAACTCCATGGCTAGTTTTCATACATTTTTTTTATAGACATAGTTATCACATTACCAGAAAACACTCTAACGGCTAATGATTGTCTGTGGGGACAAGATCTATTAGTGACCGTGGGGATGGAGAGCCTTAGTTTTCACAGAGGAGCATTACTCTCCAGCTAAAATGAGCATGCACATTTATAGTCAGCCATAGACAAGAGTTTATGTGAGCTTAGATTAGTCAACAGTTGCCGGAAACAGCTTACTTGGACATCAGTTTGATATAGTTGAGATATCTCTCAAAACCACAGGATACAACTTTTTAGGAAAGAAATGATCATATTGGAAACCTGCTTTGAATTGCTATGTTATTGTCACTGTCCAAGTTATCTGCAGTATAACTCAACTAGACATGTGCGACTCATTTCGTTCTGAATCCAAATTGAGACAAAATTTCCGAAATTAGACATTCAGACACATGCGAATTTCCGAATCGCAATGCATCCGAATGTGTCTGAATCCAGATTTCGGTTTCCGAATTTCAGATCCCGTCCGAATTTCATTTAAAAGCAAAACTGAATCGGACATGTGACTTTTCTGGCCAATCAAATGCATTTTTCGGTTCAGTGTATCCGAATGGGTCTGACGACGAATTTGCTTTATGGCTACATGGAAGCCATCTGATTGGCCAGAACTGTCACATGCCGTAACGAAAATTCATGTTCAGTATATACATATAATACTAAAGCGGAGGCTCTTAGACCCGAATGGCAGTCCGGATCCAAATTTCCGAATGCAGTTTAGAAATTACCAAATTTCTGAATTGCATTCAGGAGCTCCAGAATGCCATTCGGGTCAGGAACCTCAGCTTTAGTAATATATGTATATGGCTCCCAGACCTGAATGGCATTCGGGAGCTCCCAAATGCAATTAGGAAATTTGGATGTGATTTGGGTCTGGGAGATTCAGCTTTAGTATTAATATTTATATATGGTGGGGCGTGGCTGAACATGGCGGCGAGCAGACGTGTGTGAGGAGAGCTCCACAGAGTAATAGAGTTTTTTGCAGTTCATCTACCCATCTGACGCCCTATGTCTAGAGGTACCAGAAAGTCGCGGACCCCCCACGCCCCCCCTGCCCTCGTGTACAGGCACGTTTGGACTCTTTTCTATCCCAGCCTGCAGGGGGAGTCCGGGCCCGGACCCAGGCCACGTGGCCCTCTAATACCAGGCCTACAGTGAGGCGTACAGACACGTCGGTGCAGTCTCCTACTACTGCCCCAGTAAACTCTCCAAGGACCCCCTGAGACGGATGGACCCGCCTGCGTCCCCAACTAGCTCCTTACCCGATCCCATGCTTGGATTGGAGGCACCGGCCTCGCTGAGTTTGACGCGAGCATCAGGTGGCTCAGACCCTTCTGGCAGGCCTGACCTGTGTGCCATGCTGGCGGCGCTCCCAACTAGGGATGACATGCAGGCTATGATCACGCAAATAGCTGCTGCACTCCGTGCAGATCTCGCGGAGGTGAGAGAGGGGGTCGCCCAGCACGCACAGCGTATAGAGGCATTGGAGAATCTGAAGCTGATATGTCTTGAGACACTGTGCACACAGGCACCTTAGCTAGGCCCCACAAGGGCCTATAGTATGTCCTTGCCTAACTTGCCCAGTTTCTCCCTGTGGAGCTTCTGGTCTTGTCTGCTGTGTTGGGTTTTAAGGGTTCCATATGTGCTGCATCTACGCTCTTAGGTTGCCCCCACGGCCACCGTTAAGAATATCCTGCTGACCAGTTACCCTCTAAGATGGTTAGAAAGTGGAAAGGAGAGGCAGCTACTTTAGACCGTGTTATGTTACGTATTGTTAGGGGGCCCACGCGAGGCCTGATAAGATACCGGCCCTATGTTGTATGCATAAGTAGTGACATGGCGCTACTGTTACTATGGCGGATTGTTATTTACAGGGATGGAGGAATGGGGGGGGATTGAAGGAGGGGGGAGACCCGGAGGGGCGGTCTGGTCCTGTGTCAGCTTTTAGCTATGAAGCGACTGGGACAGGATTGGACCCCACATGTACTATTAGTCTCCGGGTGCATTGTTAATAGGGCGTTTGGCAATAATGATCCCACCGGCAGAGACTATAAACATTTCTCAGCACCGCACCAATCCTATTCCCGCATAGATTTATTTCTGATACAGCACGCAGCGCTGCCCCTTCTGACCAAAACATCCATAGGCACTTCTGCCCTATCCGATCACTCCCCCATGCATCTCAGTGTGCTTGTGGGTGAATGTATTCACTCGTCACTTACGTGGCGGCTGAACGAATCCCTGTTGCAAGACGAAGCGATCCTTGCAGATCTTAAAGCGGATCTCGCACATTACTTTAGGGACAACGCTTCCCCACTACAGGACCCGCTCACTCTGTGGGAAGCACATTATGAAACACAAGTGTGTGATACGAGGGGCTCTGATCAAAAAAGGTGCTCAACGGAAGAGGCATCTCTTGCGGCGCATAGATGAGCTATATGCCGAGTTACGAGACTTGGAGCTTTGCCACAGGGCATTAGATGGGGATACTTTGACCGCTTTGACCAAGACATGAACGTAACTTAATGAACTCCTACTGGACAGAGTAAAGGTCCAGTTATGTAGATCACGCTGAGCGTTCTACGAATTTGGAAACAAGCCTGGGAAGCTCCAGGCGCATGCCTTGCGAGACTCGCGTTCCCGTACCTACATACCCTCCATCCGCACATCTGAGGGCTTATTGGTCTCCAGATCTAAAGAAATAGCATGACAATTCCACTCTTTTTACACAGACCTTTACAACCTGCACCGGGACACTGGACCGACTGGGTTCCCGCCACGGACCCAGGCGATCAGAACATACCTGACTAACTCTGGCATGCCCCGACTACCCGAGTCGGCTGCACAGAGCCTGGAAGAGCCCATCTCGGTATTAGAGTTTGAGACAGCCATGAAAACTATGAAACCTGGGAAGGCGCCCGGCCCTGACCGACTAACTCTAGTCTATTACAAATCCTTTCAGGATCTCCTAGGGAGCCACTTCTCGGAGGCCTTCAATTCGATTCACAAAGGCAACACACTACCCAGAGATTCCCTCACTGCTCAAATTACGGTCATTCCCAAGGTTGGGTAGGACCCCTCTCAGTGCGCAAGTTACAGGCCCATCTCACTGCTAAATGCTGACCTGAAGTTGTTTACCCGCATTCTTGCATCCTGCATTCTTCCCTTCTTAGATGACCTTATAGGGATGGACCAGGTGGGATTTGTCCCGGGCCGTGAGGCCAGGGACAACACCATCAGGACCCTAAATGTGATCCATCTAGCTCGAACGCGCTCACAGCCGCTCCTCCTGCTATCCTTAGATGCGAGAAAGCGTTTGACAAGGTGAGCTGGCCATTTCTGAGGGAGATGTTGGAGTACAGTATATTGGTCTGGGGTAAGGCATGAAGCAGTGGATTGGGTCGCTGTACTCGAAACCTACAGCAGTGGTGTACATTAACGAAACTCTGTCAGAGCCTTTTACCATCTCGAATGGAACGCGCCAGGAATGCCCACTCTCTCCCATTAGACAACATAAGGTCGTGGCCTACGCCGATGACCTGCTGCTATATGTTACACTCCCCCAGATCTCCCTGCCCAATGTCATGCAAGCGTTACGGGTTTATGGTTAGCTGGCGGACTTCAAACTGAATTGGAGTAAGTCAGAAACGTTGAACATCACCCTCCCGAAGGGACGTCTGGCGAGACTGAAAGAATCTTCTATCACATACCTGGGTGTTGCTATCCCCACAGATATCCATAAAACGTTCTCTTTGAAATTCGTCCCACTCCAGAAACAAATTACGTTGGACCTGGCCTCCTGGGACCATCCCACTTTTATGTGGTTGGGGCGAAATAATATTCTAAAAATGGTGGTCATGTATAGTTCCTCCAGACGCTCCCAGTGTCAGTCCCGATGACGTTCCTTCACCAACTGCGATCCCGCTTTCTGGCTTTTTTATGGATGAACAAGAGGGCACGACTGAGACATCAACTCCTGTCCAGATCTAGGGGAACGGGTGGTCTGAGCTTTCCCGACCCAGTGATGTACTATAAAGCGGCTCACCTGTCGGTAGTGGTTGATTGGTGCTGTGACTCCAAACATAAGCAGTGGGTAGCCCTGGAACAACTGGATTGCGACCCACCCCTGCAAAGTGCCCCCTGGATCTATCCCAAACTGCCGCTCTCGTACTGGTCGAACCCCCTGCCCAATCCCGGTCTTTCCCCTCAGCCCTCACCTCTCGTGCCACTGATTGGGAACCCGCATTTCCCCCCAGGTCTGCATACCCCACTGGCAAGGTCGTTGGCCACATCGGTCCATACTAGATTGTATCAGTTCCAAGAGTCAGACCAGTGGTTGTCTATGGCCCAGATTAGGGACTTGACTGACCCTCCCCTGAGATTATGGAGCGCCCTACAGATACACCACTACCTTGGCACATCACGAGCTGGGGATCCCCCTCTAAGACAGAGAACAGACTTTGAGAGACTGTGTGAGAAGGTGGAACCAGTGAGACACATGCTGTTGCATCTTGTCGAATGTCTCCGTAGTCCCCCGGACCTCCCTCCTCCTTACTGATAAAGGCAATGGCCGCGGACCTGGGAGTGGTATTTAGCCCCGAGCAGGTGGACCGTATGTTGCATTTTGCCCTTAAATCCTCTGTGTCAACTAAATATCAGGAAGCTGGCTACAAACTGTTGACCAGATGGTATAGAGACCCAAAGGCTCTACACGCTATGTACCGGTCGGTACCAGCGACATGTTGGGGCTGTGAAGAGGAGGTAGGCTCCCCACTACACATCTTTTGGGAGTGTCCTAGGGTTGCTCCATTCTGGTCCCAGATCGCCACCCTAGTCCAGAAGATCAAAGGCTTGACCCTACTGTTTATTCATTCGGTGTATCTCCTCCACCTGGTGCCGCTATCGTGGAAAACATGTAAACGCTCCCTGCTGATTCACCTCCTAAATGTGGATCAGGCATGTATCCCAGCATTGTGGAGGCAATCCTGATCACCCTTGGTGGCGATGTGGGTAAGGTGAGTGGAGAAGATCAAACTGATGGAGCACCCAACCTCATCAATACATAGGGCCCAGCACAAGTTTGTTGTCACCTGGGCAGCATGGTATCAGTTAAGTGACTCTTCGGAGTTCCCTCAGGTCAGCCAGGGGTGAGTCATAGGCGGTGGTGCTCCCGAGCGGGAGGCACTCATGGACCGGGACCTGGGTGGTGTCTTCCCCTCCCCTGGATGTCTTGTTATCGTGATCTCTGTATTCTTTCTTTCTTTGTCTTGCTTTTCTCTTTCCTTTGCTCTCTTTGTGTAAAATTGGAACTATCCGCTCCAGCTGAGGGATAGTATCCTTAGTATCACAGTTTGGTTCTTACTTAGCCCTATACCAGTAAAACAGAAAATGTCATGGGAGTGCTGGTGCAGACCGATAGTTACACTGCAGGTGATCGGTTGGAGGGGTCTGGACGGGTCGCACATGATTATGTGTATAATGCTGAAGACTATGCAAATGTTTGAATATGCCTGGCCGTGAGGCCCATATGCTTCACGGTTCTGTAAAGTACTCTTGTGCGTGTATAAATAAAGAATTTTAAAAAAATATATTTTTATATGGTTTTCTATTTTACTCACAATGAATATTCGTAAACTCATCTGAAACGAACAAAATTCCGATTTCGGCCGCATCCGAAACCCGAACCGAATTGAATTTTGGATCTGAATTCCGAAATAACTAAATATCCGAACCAAACTGAATTTTTCCGCAGCTTACATGTCTAAACTCAACTACAGCCATGATTTTTCCATGAGCCTCCATTTCTCTGCCACATTACATATAAGATTTAAAACCTTCTAATTATCGGTATTGGCAATAGTTGGGAAATACCTGGTGATCCGGCCTGTATCATCCCCCCTCCCACCTGCATCCTTTGCTATGTTGGGTTGACAATGATAACTATGCGCTGCGCACGGTCTGTTGACAGACCTGCACACTCTCTCTCGGACCAGAAAAAAACAAGATGTTAATAAATGGCATGCCCACAATCCCATTCTCAGACATCACAGGCTGACACACTCCCTGGTAAACCCTGCATAGTATTCTGGGGAGTCACACCAAAAATGATACTCATGCAACAAACTGGCCAAATGCTGGTGCTGTGATGATACCTCTCCACCGTTTTCCACCTGTTCAAGCAGAACACTTCTAAAAATAGAAATTTGGAACAATTTGTATCATTAATGGCAACATGTTTTTAATCTTATATGGGTACCTATATATCTTTCACTGGTTCACTTTGTTGCTTTACTAATGAGTTAACATAAATGTTCATCCAAGCTGAATGTATTCATGGACCTTCTGGATGCTGCAATTGACTGTATGTGGGGAGATTTTGTCTGTATGTCCAACTGCCCACAATAATTTATGACTAGGCTATCTCATAAGCATTCCTTGTACTAATCATGTCACTACAGTGTTCTGAATTCACAGTGTAATGGTGCAGGCGGTGGTTGTATTATTGAAGACTGCCAAGCCCAGAGAAGGGCCAAAGAGGAAGAAGACCCTCCAGTATCACATGGCCAGTCTAAAGAATAGCAAAACATATAGTCTGTGGAATTGTCAAGAGAACTGGAAGGGGTATGTAAGAAGGCCAGAGTATCTTGTAATGATGTGGTGGTCAGTGAGAGAAACTGGTGAAAGCTGCAGGGCAATAAGCAGATTGACACCCCGGGAAGTGTTGGCTTCCAAGTAGGCTTGAGTGGACCATTTCTTTAGAGAGTGATGTTTAGTGGTGTGGGTGGCAGAAAAGGTAAATGTTCTCTTATTCTTTAAGTTTAATATGTATGTCAATGTTATGTCAATACATGCTGCAAATTTTATGAAAAGCTTCTCTAATGTCATTATTCCTCAAACTATATATGAGAGGGTTAATCAATGGAATCATTACAGTATATAGAAGAGACAGTACTTTGCTGACAGTTAATGACTGCCCTTGTGTCGGAACCATATATGTACAAAGAAGAGTTCCATAATATATTGACACAACTGTGAGATGGGAGCTGCAAGTAGAAAAAGCTTTTTGCCTTCCACTGACTGAAGGAATTCTTAAAATAGTGCAGATGATATAACAATATGATGTAATGATCAACAGAAAAGGGATCACAGCCATAGGAATAGTGAGTATTGTTACTTCAATCTGTACAAGATTTGTGTCGGAACACGAAAGCTCCAACAGAGGAGAAAGGTCACAGAAGAAATGGTCAATTATATTAGGGCCACAAAATTGTAAATGAGAAATTGCCAGGACATGGTTTAAAATCACAGAAAAGCTCAATAGCCAACTGAATAAAATCAGCTTTAAACAAAATATGTAATTCATGATAGTGTTATATCGTAGAGGGTTACAAATGGCAAGATATCGGTCATAGGACATCACGGTCAAAAGGAGAGACTCAAGGGCCAAAGAAGCACTAAAAAAATAAAACTGAGCTAGGCATCCTGCAAAGGTGACTGTGGTTTGTTGATCAACCAGCACATGAAGCAAAATGGGGCTTATGCTGTTGGCCATTATCATGTCCGATAAGGATAGCTGAGTGAGGAAGAGGTACATCGGAGAGTGCAGACTTCTGACCTTGACTACTACAACTATGAGGAGCAAGTTTCCACTTGTTGTAAGGTGGTAAATCATGAAAAATAGAATGAAGAGAAAAATATTGAGATGATAAAGATTGGGAAAACCCAGAAGATGAATCTCGTTGATCATGGTGAAATTGCTCTGAACCATAACTGAAGGAAATGTAAGCCTTTCGGATGAGAGTTGTTTTTTTCTGTTTCTTAGAAGACCGAGTCAGGGTGTTCTACTGCTTCCCTTTTTCAGCTGATTATCATCTTCTTTAACTTTAAGGATTATAACAGTTGATAAGACCTGATGGACATATGCCATTTAACCTTCATAACTATGTAGACAATTTCGTCTTTTCATCTGTAAAGACGACATGGATTATTTCATAATACAATTCTTAAGTAAGCTCTTAAGGTGATATAACAATTCCATATACATTACACATATGAAATAGCCTTGACAGAGCTTTAGGCAATCGGATAATAGTAATAGCATAATTGCTTCGCTTTGCGATACCGCCATGAATCAATGCGTAAGTACAGGAAAATCAAGAGATTCTATGTAAGGTTGATCTAATCAGGAGACTTGCCATTTCATCTAAATATCTTGGTCTATCCATGTATCTATATTATGATTCTTTGCAAAATATCAAAAAATATGCTTGCATACACTAAGGCTGATTTTCAAGGCTGACTGAAATGTTTTACAGCCAGTATTTCTGGAAGTTGATTTAAAAAAATTGCTGGGAGGTCATGATTTTTTGGCAAAAGAATCATACAATCATTCAATTCAAGTGCAAAGCAAAGAGCAGAGGCTGACCTTATGTCCCCTCACCTTTCACTTTAGTAAGTCAAGTCTTTATACAGTATGTCCACCAACAGTTATTTGTGACTATGTGGGAAAAACAGATAAGGTCACTATCCCGGGGAATCTAAAATCACATTTTCTTAGCATAACACTTACTGTGTATCAGGATTTAGAATTTCACAGACCAAAGGGTCATCCCCATTAGTGGTTCTAGAGTCTGATTGGAAAAGTTATTTTATTTTCTTCCTTCATGCTGGCACAATGCATGCAAAATATGTAAACTTTTTAAATCATCAATAAACAGACAATTACACTTACTTTATTAGAAGTCATAAAAAACAAATCTGATGTTCCATTGATTCTTAAATTAAGCCCTACCCTTTCCTGTAAATTAAAAGCGGGCTTTATGTTTGGCGCCAGGATGTATTTAACTATCATGTTTTAAGATTGATGTTAATTTTAATATTGTCTGCAAGAAGAAAAAATTATAACACAATTCATTGTCTTTATAATGCCCAAAGGGTAAAACATGGAGTAAGTTGAGTTTAAAGCTGCTGGAAGGATCTTCTTAAAACAAGGATTGAATTTGTGCTTCTCCTTTTATACTTAGAACATAGAACTCTTTACTAATGAGAGGCCTAAAGGGAATGCATTAAAATTCTCTTGTGATTATGGTAGAAAGAGAGATATGATCATGTCCTGTACCATAATGATGATAGGGAGATAGACGTGTTATGATTATGCAAAAACAATCCCTTAGTTTGATATCATTTCCCCAAAAGGAAAGGTGAGTGAGTCCAAAAGTTGGTTGTATGTGCTAAATATGGAGCCTTTTGAGAATCTCTCACAGGAGATCAATCACATTCAAAGGATGGATCAGGGTCCGGTTTGACACTTACCTCTCATGTGTAAAAGCAGAGTAAGGCATTGTCATATTAATAAAGGATTGTTACTTACTTATCCCCCAAAATAGTCAATCCATAAGATTTTTTTCAATTGACTGTATTATGAGTAAGCTGTACACACAACTCACTGAATATGTAAAATGAGGTTATGGTGATGATTCACCATTGTGTCATTCACAAACATAAATGGACATCTATTTAGAAACATTAAATTCTGACTCTTTGCAATGGAGAGTGAGCTACCGTTGATTACATACCAAAGGCTTCTGTCAGAAACGTAGAACTAATGCCCATAGCATAAGGAGGGCTCGAGTTACTGCACACACTATGGCGCGCAGAAACGTGCATAGTGACAGACGAGCAGTAACTGCGCATGTGCGTATGCAGCGTGCAACATGCACGTGTGCGCGCGGACGCTGCCCACTGCACGAATTGGCGCCAATCAGCCTATTTAAACCCCAAGCAGCAACTGATAGTTGCTGGAAGATCTCAGCTGTACCTTTACCTGTGTTCCTGTATCTGAATCCTGTGACTGACCTGGCTTGCTCCTGTTTCCTGCGGTCTGCTGCCTGCCTTCTGACCTCAGCTTGTCTGACTATTCTCCTGCCTCCTGATTTGGCTCCGATCTGTCTGTTTGGTTCTGACCCGGCTTCTACTGACCATGTCTACCATCCGGATTCTCCTGGCCTGCCAGCCATTGACCCAATCCGCCTGAATCCTGCATCCTGCATCTGGATGCCTGAATCCTGCATCCTGCATCTGGCTGCCTGAATCCTGCATCCTGCATCTGGCTGCCTTCATCCGGCTTCCTGCATCCTGAATCCTGCATCTGGCTTCCTGCATCCGGATTCCTGCATCCTTACCAGCAGGTGATCAGCATCCACAGGCACTGGTGTCTCTCTATGTCCGTGTGCTACCTGTGACATCTCCAGGGGTGCTCTGACGAGAGTTACAAAAGGAGCCTCCCTCATCATTCAGACCATACCAGGTACGTGACAGCTTCTCACAAATTGGTGAAGACAGTGACAATAGCACTGCAAACATTTAATTGCCATTGTCCTGAAAGGAAAGAAACAGAAAGTATGTTTGCACAGGAAATCACTGGCACGATGGATTCCACCAGAAAAAGCAGTGGGGCTTGAAGGGTAAGTCTGTGGTGAACATCGCTGGGAGGTAAGTGTTGCAGCCAGAGCTGCTTTATAACTTTTATGAGATGCTGGGAGATCCATTTTAATATATAATGCCCAAGCTGGAATTAAGGGTACATGTGAATTTTATACATAAACACATCAAGAAGAATAATGTATATTTCCTTATTTAGGAAAAAATTCCTTATTTTCCTAATTTTAATATGTTTATTATAGCCATGAGTAATTGAGTAATTAAGTAATTGAGTCATTTAACCTTCTTGGCGGTTTTCCCGAGTGTGGCTCGGGGTTAATTTTCAGTACCAAAAGCGGTAACCCCAAGCCACACTCGGGATTACACAGTGCTTCACTTACCTGCTCCCTACGAGCCGCGCTGTGTCCTCCGGCCGATGCCGGCATCCGTCTTTCGGGTTCTTTCCCTGCAAGCGCTGGCATCGCAGGGGGAAGGAACCAGTGGGAAATGTAAAAAAAAAAAAACTGGAAAAAATAGACAAAAAAAATATTAGTAAAAATCAGACCGTCAGGAAGGTTAAATATTTATATAGAAATAAACAAATAAAATAATTATTTCAAAATGTTGCATTTTCAACCCATCTGATGATGCTTTTTTTTCCCTCTTTTTTTTCTAGGGTTTCCTTAGCAGCTGGAATGTAAACAAAGGGTTGGGTATGCTGGCTGATGTAATTGACCATGGCCATAGTTAGTCAAAGATGTCAGCCAGTATGCCCATCCCTTTGTTTACATTAAGCTGCTGCCAGGAAATCTCCCAGCCAGCAAATAGATGGGGTTGGGAATGCATCTTTGTTTCCTAGGACACCAGCGACTGCTGGCTTCCTAGCAACCAGTATCCCTGAACAGGAAGCTGTCACACTAAGCAGGGGGTGGTAATACCATTGTTGAATGTGATGTTGTGCTGCAGCTGAAGCTTGGCTTGGAGGGAGGACAAACATCCCACTTTCTGATAAAAGGGGTCCGGCCCCAGAAACATTTCAACCGGAGGGCTGAAGTGCAGTAAGATGGGTTTAGCTCCCCACCTGCATAATTGAAGCCATGACTCTTTGTTCATCCCCAGTTTCCTTGTGATTTTGCTACTACAGGCCATATTTTCTTGGGTGTTTGTGAGTACAATTGTATTTTTCAAATTAATCAATAAAGTCACTTTACACTATGGAGGTGCTCCTTGACCTTCTCTTTTGTTAAACATTCCATTTAGTCCACCCCTTTGCGGAGCGTCAAACAAGCAAAGTTCTCACCGAATCCTACTTCGGTCCAAACCTTATGGCTAATAGTGATGAGAACACTAATCTGGTGGCCCACTTTTGATTGAATTGTAATCCATTATTTTCTTGTAATTTAAACCTTTAGGCCTCATTTACAAGGGAAACGGCTGGCCTGTACAAGTCCGTGCTGCTTGCAGCTCCCGGGAAGGATATGTGCTGCGTGTGATTATACTCAGCAGCCTGTACTTCTCTATGGAAGTACGCGGCCATACGCCGCACTACGCACACCCGACCTGCCGGTCAGTACGGGTGCAGGTATCCATACTTGTATGCTGACAGGATGGAACCTGTCTGTTTCCGAGCATTTTGGGAGTCTTCATGCAATTTGTAGGTGTAAAATGTGCATTTGATGCATGTAAAAGATGCAAAAATGGCCCTGATGGCAAAAGGGTTAAGGTGGATCCCACATTTTTTTTTTTTCTTATGCTTCAGCAATGGGGGGCACATGCTCAGTGTTCCTCCCCTTTCCTGGCAACCAAGGCTGTATACTGGATAAGGGTCTGATAAAAATATACAGTATTGCACCTTTATCTAGGCATGCAATCTGGCTGGCCAGGAAAGGGAGGGGGAGTGAGTTTGCACCTTTACAAACCATACCAGGCCACATGCCCTAAACATAGCTTGTACCTTGCCAGGGGGCAAAAACATATCCCACCAAGTAAATCCAACATCAATCACATTGTCCAGCGAGGTAGATCCATCATCAATCAGGATGAATGACACTCCAATGCTGCTGACTAACTCAAGATACCTGTTCAGTTTGCTGACATTCATGTAGTGAAATGTTATTTGTAGCAAGAGTTGTGGGAAAGGATTATCGGTGCATGTCATTGTGTTTGTGTCAGTGGGTCATCTAGGCAAAGTTCATCATGATAGACTATGAATCTACATCACTGGATGATATGACTGATAAGAGCTCCTGCTTAGACAACAGAAATCCTGCTTCATAATTTACTTATTGGTCCATTAAAGGATTAGAACACCTAATACTGTCTTTATCTCACTGGAGAAATGTTCTTTCA